AAAACTCAACACATTTTTTGTTTTGTTTTATTTTGTCCTTTTTTTTTTTTTTTTTTTTTTTGAGATGGATTAAGTTAATGGAACTTTGGTATGGAGGCTGAATATGAGAGTTGCCATATAGAACATATTTAGGACAGATCCTTTCACAGCAACTTTCAAAGAGCTTCTATTCTTGCACTGCACTGGAATTCCCAGTGTGATGTAGACTGTTTGTGTTTTACAAGTAGCTGGCTGAACAGCTTTTTCACTTGGCTCCAAGACATCACACCCTCCTTTTTTGCTCCTATCTTGCTGGCTACTACTGCTTAGTCTCCTTTGACGATCTTTCTCTTACTCCTATCTTCTAAAAGTTAAAAGTTCTTAGTGTTCACTCCAAACTTCTTCGCTTTTTTTTCCTAAACTCTCTCTGTAGATTTTATCTTTGTCTCTTACCTTCAGATGCCTTTGGTTTACTAATCAACTGATCACCCTTATTATTATTAAGTTTACATTCCACCCTCTACTCTGACCTTCAGACTTTTAAGATCAACTGTGCTCCAGCTCTCTGCACCTAGCTGTCTATTAGGCATTTCAAACCTAACATGTCCAAAAGTGAACTTTTGATTTTCCCTTTTCCCAAAACCATTCCCCTCAGCCTTCTCAATCTCTGCAAATGGCACAGCCCATTTGCCCAGATCACAACATAAGTATTTCTGTCTTCATTCTTCTGTCTTTCTTACATACAACATCCAATCCATCAGCGAGTTCTATTAGTTCTGTCTTCAAAATATAGACCTAACATGGTGTGATGAGCTGACATACTTTGTTTTTAACTTTAATTTAATTTTAACTGCTGAGATACTTATGTAGGACGTGCGAGTTTGTTACGTAGGTAAACATGTGCCATGGTGGTTTGCTGCATCTGACAATCCATCATCTAAGTATTAAGCCTCACATGCATTAGCTATTTATCCTGGTGCATCTCCAACCCCCTGATGCTCTCTTTCCTCCATCGGTGGGTGGCATGGAGAGCATCAGGATAAATAGCTAATGCATGCGGTGCTTAATACCTTGATGATGGGTTTTACTTTTAATATGTCTGTTCTATTGACTGTACTGTAGCTCTTTAAAATACTCTGTTTGTAATAGAAATCTCACTGCTTCTTATCAGTGCTGTCCTACTATTCTAGTCCATATCTTGATTACCATTCACCTGGACACTATGGTAACCACCTAACTGGTCCCCCTGCTTCTATTCCTGTCCAACCCACCTTACTCTGCCAAAACGTGTTCTCCTTGAAGTCAAAGAGCTTTAAAAAGGAAAACCAAGCCGAGTGTGGTGGCTCATGCCTGTAATCCCAGTAATTTGGAGGCCAAGGTAGGAGGACTGCTTGAGGCCAGGAGTTGGAGACCAGCCTGGGCAATATAGTGAGACACCCCCCCCCCATCTGTAAAAAAAAAAAAAAAATTAGCTGAGTGTGGTGGCACATGCCTGTAGTCCTAACTACTCAGGAGGCTGAGGTGAAAGGATCTCTTGAGCCCAGGAGCTGTGATTCCTCCACTGCACTCCAGCCTGAGCGATAGAGCAAGACTCTGTCTCTAAAAAGAAAAATAAAAGAAAAGTCAAATCAAGGCACCCCCTTGCTCAAAACCATTCTAAGAATGGCATTCCATTATCCTTAGAATAAAATATGAAGTGTTTTCTGTGGCCTACGTAATCTTGCCCCTTGCTTTCGTTTCCAGCCCTTTTTTCATCACTGTACTGCAACCATGCTGGCCTTTCTGCCCTTTCCTCGACACACCAGATCACACCTGTATCAAAGCCTTTGCCCTTCCCTCTGCCTGGATGCATTCCCCATCACCTTTGCATTCGCCAGGCTCTTCCTCATCACCTAGCTAAAATAGCTTCCCTACTTCTCCCTTGCTTCCTCCCTCCATGACACTGTCTAAACCTTTAACCTATGTTGCTCCGAGATACCTTCTGATCCTTCAGTCTATAGAAGAATGATTTCCTCCTGACACTATATGCTGTATTTATTTATATACATATTTGTTTTCTGTGTCTCACAGTAACATATAAATTCCATGAGGGCATGAGCTTTGTCTTGTTCACAAGTGTTTCCCCAGTGCCTGAACTAGTGCCTGGCATATGTTGGGGCCCCAGTAAATATTTGTTGAATAATGCCATGGCATTATTCATGGCAATATGTAATGCCATGAATACACACACACATACATATACAGATATATATATAAAATAACAGATTATTATAGTGGGATTTGAACAGTAAGATTCCATCAATTAATTCTAACAAAAACATAAACTATAATGTCTACTAAAAATTTTTGAGCAAAGCCTTCAGAAAGGATTATCTCATTCAATACACACAACAAACTTATGGATTAGGTGCCATTGTTGTCCCTATTTTGCAAACAAGGACACTGAGAAATAGTAGACACTAAGGAACCTGTCCAAGACCACAAGTTGGAGAGGTAGACCATGAACCTAGCATTCCCGCTCCAGATCACTGCTCTTTAACAGTATGTGATACTGTCTCTATGTTTCCTGTGCCTGACACTTGATATGTAAATTTAAAAGTTGTGAACTACCTCAAGGGATTTGTCATCACCTGCCAGGGGAGGCACGAAATGGGAACAAATTAGGAAACAGTGTAAGAGTATCTGACTTCTTTAACCCCAAGGCTCTAGCATGCTGATTATGAGAAGCAAACATCTATAATATAACCATTCTATGCCCAATTTGCAGCTATTTAAAATATGCAGATTTCAGATAGAAGAATTGTGTACACTAAAAATACATTTTGCCTGAGTAACGTGTGTAGTAAGTGTTGAGTGTTTTTGACTTATGAAAATTATGAATATCCAGTACAGGTGTGGATGCGGTCATTCACATGGGCAAATGATCAGAGACTGCACAGCGCTAAGAACTTCAGGGCCACTAGGCACATACAGTTGGTTATTTAATTCCTAGGCATAGGGAAATATCCTTGCTTATTATATAGGAAAACATTGATGTTAAATCACCACCACAGGTAATAATGCCTTGCAAAATGAGCTCTGTTGAATGTAACAGCAGAAATCACATTTTTTGCTCTCTCTTTTTTTTTTTTTTTTTTTGGTCTCATAATATTTAACATAGGCTCCTAGTACACGGTACATAGTTGCTGCTTGGCTTATTTTCCTTTCTTGACTTATGTGTAAACCACAGTCTGCTCATTGCTTCTACTTTGTTGACTGAGATTGGGCTACAATGTTAGATCCACAGCCCAGCACCTGAGCTAGGTGACTTTTGTTCTCTGGATGCTCTGCATGATTTCATAAGAGGAAGTGTTACATTTGTCAGCCACTGAGAAGATGACCAGATTAATTCAGGGGGAGAATTTTCTAGCAAATGCAGTGTCCTTTCTTCCTAGTCAGAATTCATGGATGGCCTCTTTTTGCCAAACATATTCATTACATGAGGAGCAGCAGCATTTTAATCGCTGGGAGATGTCCAACCACAGATCTTGGGCAGTCAGATTTCTCTAGTGATGTGTTTATGCAGCAGATGTCATTTTCTTTAAAGGGCTTTGGAACTTGCCGGTTGTATTGAGGAACACAAGAATTTCAAGACCTGTGATAAAAACACAGACCCTTTAGGATCTGAGCTTAAGGTGGATACATTTTTAGTATTTACTAGAGTCCTAAAAGCTGCTGACTGTGAATGTTGTCTGTATAAAATCCAGTTCACCTTTTCTATTCAGTGCATTGTCAAAAATGGTATAAAACTCTCTCTAGGTGACCCAGCTGTGCTTGTTTTTCTCTGTCTCCCATTTGGGGTTCCCAGGCACTAGAGTGTGGAAGTGAGAATGCTGTTGTGTTGTGTTAGAAAGAAGTTGCCTTTACTGTGTCCCTGTCTGGACAGATGAGGCGGCAGAGTCTTAGGTACGCCAGCTTACTAAACAGGTTATTTTAATTACACCTGGATGTGGAACTTCCTGTTTTAGTTGACTGATGGTTTGTTGTGCCTTTGTATTTTCTGCTACAGGCACAACCCGATCTCCCAGAGAAGGAGAAGTGCCTGGCGTGGACTATAACTTTCTGACTGTGAAGGAGTTCTTGGACCTCGAGCAGAGCGGGACTCTTCTGGAAGTTGGCACCTATGAAGGTGAGTTACTTGTACGGCAGCATAAAAAGCTTCTCTCCTGGGTACTTCAGAGGAGCCCAGAGCCATGCGGGCAAAAATGTTTTGTGGAATCTGGCGGTCTAAACAAATAACAGGAGATTGCAGTTCACTTTAATATGACGAATAATAGCTAAAGTCTGTGGAATAAGGCTTTGTGGAGCTCTTTAAAAATAGTTTTTGTTTTTCTCTAGGAGTTTTCTTTTTTAATTTACCTATTCAAGTGTGCGGGTGTGTTTTGTTTTTTAATATGGACATGTGTGGTATTAGAAAAGAAGGAAGAATCATGGTTAATCACAAAATGTGACCCTATAAGTAGTGTTGTTTTAATCTTGAAGAAATAAAATGTCACTTTCCTGATTGATTTTTAATGTATTTTTATGTGATTCATAAAGCAAACTATTTTTGTTTGTTTGTTTGTTTGTTTTGAGACGGAGTCTCGCTCTGTCGCCCAGGTTGGAGTGCAGTGGCATGATCTCGGCTCACTGCAAGCTCCGCCTCCGGGGTTCACGCCATTTCCCTGCCTCAGCCTCCCGAGTAGCTGGAACTACCGGCGTCCGTCACCTCGCCCAGCTGATTTTTGTATTTATAGTAGAAACGGGATTTCATTGTGTTAGCCAGGATGATCTCAATCTCCTGACCTCGTGATCCGCCCGCCTCGGCCTCCCAAAGTGCTGGGATTACAGGAAAGCAAATTATTTTTAAAATGTTTACTTAAGTAATCTGCATATACCTGTCTCCCACCTGCCTAATTTAGGATTCAATATTATAAATAATCTGATTACTCTTCTGAAGTTGATGTCAATACAGACATGCATGTGCATGTGCATATATCCATGTGTGCATGCATGTTGTATGGATATTCCCATTTCTTCCCTGTTTTCTCCAAAAGGTAGTATACAGTACATGCTGTTTGGTACCTTGCTCTTTTTGTTTAACAGTATGTCTTAATAGGTCATTGCTATTCGGTAATAAAGCACTTCTGGTTTTCTTCTTGAAATATAATTATAAAAATTTTATTTCTTTTGTATGGGCATACCATAATTTATTTAACCACTTCCCTCTGAACAAATATTTGAGTCAATTTCAATGTTTCATATTTCTAAACACTGCTGAGTTGAATGACATGAATGTATCATTTCACATAGGTGCAAACATATCCATAGGATCAGATCCCATTGCTGGGTCAAAGCCGAATATGGTGGAAAAAAGTCATGTTTTTCTGAAAACAGTATTATAGCTTGATTACTTTTTGGAGTGTTATTATTGTTTGAGGCAGAAGTGGCACAATCATACTATTAACTAGGACAGATTATTAACTTGGTCAAGTTATTATGTGTATCTCTTTACTAACTCTTTAAAATTTGGATTTATTAGGCATTCACAGGAACATTTTAAAGATTAGGCATAAACATAAAGGGTAAATACAAAGTAGATTATTATTTTATTAGGGACATTCTAGCTTTAATGTGATAATTGCTCCTGTTATGGTGACTAACAGTCATATCATGATCATGAATCTTAAAGATGCTGTTTCTGGTTTGATATTCTTTGGAGAAGGGGAGGAGCATTGTCTTTGTACATACTGCTCGTTTCCAAATTGTGAATATACAGTAGACAGTGTATATTAATCAAACTCCTGCTCATGAAGTCAGGAATTTTTATTTGTTTGTTTTTGAGTATTGCTAACTATCAGTTGGCTTAGTTTCCTGAAACTACATGTTGGGATGTGACTGGGTGGCTGGTGGGCTGGGCAGGAGTCCGAGAATAATCGAGGTCTAGGAGTGTATAGAGGGAAGGGAGGGGGACTGCGGGAAGGTACAAGGAGCTTCTTCAACTTGTTGTCAGCATGCTGTCCTCACATGTTGTACATGTGAATTGAGCTAAAACTTCAGTGGCCATGGATAGAGCATGTGTGACTCCTCTTTGGTTAGCAGAGAGAGAATTGTCCTCCTCTGAAATTAGTTATGCCCATCTAGGGGGCTTCAGTCATCAAATATACAAAACGTCTATTTGCATTTTTGGAGAGGCTGGGGTAGGAGTGTTTGTACAAAGCAAAAGAGGATTGGGTCGGACAGGAAAAACTTGTGATTTAGGCTCCAATTTAACTTGAAAGATGGAAAGTAAACTCGCTTTATTCAATGTTAATGGAACAAATGATATATAGGTGGAGTCAGTTCTTTTTCTCATTTAATTTTATCATTGCAACAGAGGCAGCTATTATCTTCACTGAATTTTTAGATGGAGACACTGGAGCGAAGTGGCATTAAATAACTTTTTCAGAGTTGCACAGCCAGTTCTAGAATGCTAGAACAGGAACCAAACCCAGCTCAATGTGACTCTCAGATCCTACACTCTTTCCTAAAAACCCCAAAAATATCCTAGATGTAACTAAAAAGCTAAGGAAAGTAGCCATTAGTACGTGAAGCTAATTTCCTTGTGTGTAGCAACAGAGGAATGTTTTTCAGAAAATGTCTGATTGTCTTATAGAAAATGGTGCCTTTGTGAGTGTTGCGTCGTTATTTTGGAACTGGAATTTTCTTAGGTGCAGTATTAATCTTTTCCACGTCTAACCCATTTGACTGTGCAGTGTTCTTCAACCTTTGGCCTATTAGCAATGAAATTTCCCTACCACATGAGATGGCTCATAAGTTTTTTTTTTTTGGAAACAGAGTCTCACTCTGTCGCCCAGGCTGGAGTACAGTGGCACAATCTCGGCTCACTGCAACCTCTGTCTCCCGTGTTCAAGCGATTCTCCTACCTCAGCATCCTGATTAGCTGGAACTACAGGTGCATGCCACTGTGCCCGGCTAAGGTTTTATATTTTTAGTAGAGTTGGGGTTTCACTGTGTTGGCCAGGATGGTCTCAGTCTCATGACTTCGTGATCTGCCTGCCTCGACCTCCCATGGTGCCGGGATTACAGGCATGAGCCACCGTTCCTATAATTTTTTGGAACTGACCCGAGTATACTATATTGACTCTTAAAAACTGAGAGCCAAATGGAATGTTTATGAAATGCCTTATGCCCTCAGAGGAGTAGGGCTGGAAAGACATTTAGAGAACTTTCTCTGTCTTTGCCTCTCCTGGATAAGTCCCTTGATGGTGGCTGCTGTCTATTGGTGGACACTAACAAGCTTGCAAGCCCTGCTGTCACACTGCCTGAGTTTGATTCTCAGCCCTTTTGCATTGAGCTGTGTGCCCTCCGGCAAGTTACTTAATGCTCCATGTCTCCATTTTCCCATTGGTAAAATTAGGATAATAATAGTGCTTCCTCAGAGGTAGGGCTAAATGAGACAATAATTGGAAAGGGCTTAGCAGAGTGTCTGACACATGTAAGCTCTCCATCAGCGTTAGCTCTTGTATTTACACGCACCTAGTTCTAAATTGCTCCCGTAGTGGATCCCTTTCCTCTCTACTAGTCAGTAAACCAGCAGATTTGCCAGTGAAATGTCTTTATTTACTTCCCAGGTACTCACCTTATTTTTTACCCTCCTGAAATTGCTTTCTCCACACCTCTACTGGTTCCAGAGAGGAAAAGTCTACCACAACAACACAAAGCACTCTTTAAAGCACGACATGTATAAATGTTTAAGTAACAGTAATAAGCATACATGATGGAATAGTTCCTACAATAAAAGACTTAAAACTAGCTAAGTCCTAGTTGCTTCCCCTCTTCCATGTAGGTAACCATTATTAAAGATGCTAGTGCAAATGTCCGGAAAACTTATATGTACACAGCATATATGTATATCTTGTTTATTTCACTCTGTTATTGCCCTTTGCCCTTAACACAGCTTGGAGATCTTTCCACATTACCCCATACAGTTTCACCTCATTCTTTATAAATGCTGCATAGTATCCTAGTGAATAAGTGTGTGTGTGTATGTGTGTGTATATACACACACACACACAATGAGTATCCCAGTGAATGAGTGTGTGTGTGTATGTATGTGTGTGTGTGTGTGTGTGTGTGTGTGTGTGTATAAAACTTATTTAATCAGCCCTCTGCAGATGGACATTTTAAATGTCCCCTGCCTTACCTCCCCCTTCTGTTTTTGGTGGTGGTGTTATAAACAGTGCTTCAGGTATCTTGTTATACAATTATGAGCATAACTGTAGGGTAAATTTCTGGTAGCACAGTTTTAAAGCAAGCCTTTTAATGCATGTATAATTTATTTCAACAAGTATTTATTGAGCATTTATTTCAGGCCAATAATCTCTTCTTAGTTCACATGGTAAACCAAGGATAGAGCTGGGATTCAAATTCAAGTACTCTAGCTGCAGAGTCTATACTCTTACCCCGCTCAGTCTTGTGAGGCGGATTAAACATAAACAATTTTGTTGGGCATGGTGGCTGACACCTGTAATCCCAGCATTTTGGGAGGCTGAGGTGGGAGGATTGCTTGAGCTCAGGAGCTCACAGCCAGCCTGGGCAACATGGCAAAGCCCATCTCTACAAAAAAAAAAAAAATACAAAAAATGAGCCAGGCATGGTGGCATCCACCTGTAGTCCCAGCTACTTGGGAGGCTGAGGTGGGAGAATCACCTGATCCTGGGAAGTTCGAGGTTGCAGTGAGCCACGATCACACCACTGCACTCCAGCCTGGACAACAGGAGTGAGACTGTATAATATATGAACGAATGAATGAATGAATGTAAACAATTTTAAGAAAAGTGATGAATGGGCCGGGTTTGGTGGCTCACACCTGTAATCCCAACACTTCGGGAGGCCAAGGTGGGCGGATCATTTTAGGTCAGGAATTCAAGACAAGCCTGGCCAACATGGTAAAACCCCCTCTCTACCAAAAAAAATACAAAAATTAGCTGGGCTTGGTGGTGCATGCCTATAGTCCCAGCTACTTGGGAGGCTGAGGTGGGAGAATCACTTGAACCCAAGAGGCAGATGTTGCAGTGAGCCGAGATTGTGCCACTGCACTCCAGCCTGAGTGACAACGTGAGACCCTGTCTCAAAAAACAAAAAAAA